GGCCTTTGTGCACCTCCGGCAATTCCCAGCATGGACTAAACCAGGAGACTCCATTAATAGAGACAGCAGATTAGAACTGAGAAAAGGACTAAACCAGCAAAAGACTGCAAACTGGAAATGGGGAAGGGAGTCCAACATGAAATTGTGGACTGGACCAAGGGCTGAAGACTGGCTCTTCCTTAGAGCCTCCTGTCAGTCTAGACTGACCCATTAACCCTGGATTGGAAAGCCAGTTAGATTGGGAGCTTGGAAAACAAAAAGCGGAAATCAACTGAGGAACTGACCAATGACCCTTGGAAACAGCAAGAAAGACAGTGAACTTAAAAGGGTTCACGGGTTGCCACACCTGTGCTTCTTGTTGCTTCTGAATGCCATCAGAGGTTCACTTTGGATCCCATTGCTGCCACCAAATCTGTTAAAAAACAAAATTAAACCAAATAAATCAGTTTATTAAGTGATTATGAATCAGGCAACATCCTATCTAGCAAGTAGAGAGCTGCTCCGAGTGGTACAAAATGGGTTTTTCTAGGCAGGAGGGTGGGGCAAGGAGGTTATTAGTACAAGAAAAGGGTCATTTCAGCCCAGGACCTCTTCTATTTGGGGAGAAGGGAACAGTAGGATTTTTATCCTGCAGATGACCTCACTAGTGCTGATCTGGAAATCTCAGACTGACTGTTAAAAGGTCACATTCCTGGGATTGGTTGAGACTGTGAGCCTTGATTTGCTGTTGGGGGTGGGGGACAAATGACTCCAACCTGAGGTTTTGAAACAAAACAAAATACAACTAGATGCTGTTTCCAAGGTACACATCTAAAACATGAGTATAAAACGCTGAAAGTAAAAGGATGGAAAATGGCATGCCTTGCAAATATTAACCAAAAGAAAGGTAGTGGGTCTTCTGCTTCTGGGTAGAGAATAGGTCATGGCAGGCTAACACTCCTGCTGCAACAACTATAAAAACTAGATAAACTTTAAAAATCCATATTTTAAAAATCTTTGGAGAGCTGTGGAGCAATAAGAATTAGATGCACTAAAATTTAAGTGGGAGAGGACCACCTAGTTACAGTGATGATCATTAGTTGTTTTCTTTCTTGGTGGGCTTTGCTGAAATGCCTTAAGTGTTGAGGGACCAAAGACTTTCTAAGCTCTCAATCAAAAGTCTAAGAGGGCCATGCCTGGAAACAGGGATAATTAATATTTTAAAGAAAATAGAGGAAAGATAGATAATACTTGATGTGGGACCACGAGCGAATGGTCAAGAAATAATTCTTGAGATGTTTTCAGTGTAAAAAGGTGCATTTTCTATAACATGAAGCTGGTGGTTATATGCTTAGGCTTAAGGGGGCGTGGATGTGCAGGGAGTATTAGATCATAAATGTCTTCTTCAAATTTCTACTTGTAAAACTGTCACAAGATTTCTCTTGTGCTTATCATTCAGCTCAATATTAACTATTGGAGAGATGTACAGGCAGTCATGAGACCATTTAAGAATGTAGCAAGCAGCACATATTTGATCTTTATTGGAACTATGCAGGCTATAGGTCAGCCTTCTGGGCTAAAGGTGAACATTTTTCTGCTTCTGTCCCTCATCGTACTGATAAGAAGATGGAGAATTACAGTTGGAAATTGGAATCTATTTTTAAAAACTCAAATTCATTCTAAAATATTGGAAAATACAACATCTAAAATTAAAAACTCATTGGATGAATATAATTTCAGGCTAAACACTGCAAAAGACAGGATTAGGGTCAAGCAAATATATCCAAACTGAAGCATAGGAAGGAAAAAAATGAAAAGAACAGAATAGAGTATAAGAGACAGGTGAGAGAAACACTCCAATTTTCCAAAACTGATGAACCATGGCAAGTCACAGATTCAATGAGCTAAGTATATCCAAAGCATATTAAATACAAAGAAAATTGCATGTAGGCAAATAATCAAGCTTAAGAAAACTAAGGATAAAGAGAAAATATTAAAAACCAGAGGGAAAAATATACATTGCCTCCAAAGGAACAACAAGATTGATAGCCAACTTTTCAATCAAACTACTAAAACAACACTGTCCAATAGAACTTTCTGTGATGATGGATATGTTGTAGATCTTCACTAATATGGTAACTACTAGTCATATGTGGCCATGGAGTACTTGAAATGTAGCTAGTGTGATTGAAGAATTGAATTTTAATTGTATTAAATTTAATTAGTTTAAATAGTCACACATAGCTGGTGGCTACCCATTTGACAGCACAATACTAGAAGATAACAGAATGATATCTTTAAAATGAAAAATACTGAAAGAAAAATGCTAACCTAGAATTCTAAACCCAGAGAAAACATTTGAAAATGAAGTTGAATAAAGATGTTTTTAGAACAACAAAAGCTGAGAGACTTTGACACAATAGACTGGTGCTAAAAAGTGCTAGGACGTTTTAATATCCATATGGAAGAACATTAAATTGGATCCCTAACTTAGACCATACAAAAAACCCACTCACATTGGGCTATAAGTCTAAATGTAAGCATAAAACTATAAATCTCAGAAAGAAAAATAAGAGACTATCTTAATAGCCTCAGGGTAGGGAGAGAATTGACATAGAAAAAGCACTAACCATGAAGGATTTTTTGATAAATTTCACTACATTAAAATTATGAACTATGCTCATCAAAATATAAAAAAAAGAATGAAAAGATTATCCACAGAATGTGAGATATTTGCAGCACAAAAGGCCAACAAGGACTCATATTAAGACTGTATAGAGGGGGCGCCTGGCTGGCTCAGTCGGTTAAGCGTCTGCCTTCGGCTCAGGTCATGATCCCAGGGTCCTGGGATCGAGCCCCGCATCATCAGGCTCCCTGCTCAATGGGGAGTCTGCTTCTCCCTCTGCCCTTCCCCCTGCTTGTGTTCCCTCTCTTACTTTATCTCTCTCTGTCAAATAAATAAAAACCTTTTAAAAAAAAAAGACTGTATAGAGTACTCCTTTGATTCAATAAGAAAAAAAAGATTACCCAGTAGAAAAATTGGCAAAAACAACAACAACATCAACTTGGATAGGCATTCCAAAAACAGGAAATTCAAATAACTAGTATTCACAAGAAAAGATGCTCAACCTCATTATTAATCAGGGAAATGTGACATAAAACCACAGAGACACTGCTGTGCAACCACTAGAACGGCCAAAAGTGTAAAAACACAGTATCGAGTGCCTGTAAAGATTTGGAGTAAATGGAAAATGGCACAGCCACTTTGGAAAACAGCATGGTAGTAGCTACCAAAGCTGAACATATGTATACTCAGCAATTCCACTCCTAGATATGTGCCCCACAGAAATGCATATATACATTCACCAAAAGATGTGTATAAGACGGTTCATAGCTGGGGAGAAAAAAGAAGATTCATAGCAGGAACAGGACTATGTTTAAGCACCAAAAATTAGAAATGACTCGAATGTTCATAATTTTGGTATATTCACACAATGGAATACAAACTAGCTGCACACAACTATGTAGATGAATTTCACAACCATAATGCTGAGTGAAAGAAGCCAGAAACAAAAGAATGTATACAATATGGTTCTATTTACATACTTAAAAAACAGGCAAAACTAAACTGTATTCTTCAGGGAAGTGTACATAGTGGTAAAATTATGAAGAAAAGCAAAGAAATAATAATCATAAACATCATAATGGGGGTTACCTTTAGTGGGGAGGATGTATGTCATTGGAAAGGTACAGACAGCCTTCTGTGTTGCTGGTAATGTTCTTGATCTGGATGGTGGTTACATTTTTATACCAAAAACACTTATATTTTATGTCCTTTATTATATAATTTTAGTTCACAATTTTAAAAGATTTTTAAAAAGATTTTATTTATGGGGCACCTGGGTGGCTCAGTCGTTAAGCGTCTGCCTTCGGCTCAGGTCATGATCCCAGGGTCCTGGGATCGAGCCCCGCATTGGGCTCCCTGCTCGGCGGGAAGCCTGCTTCTCCCTCTCCCACTTCCCCTGCTTGTGTTCTCTCTCTCGCTGTGTCTCTCTCTGTCAAATAAAAATCTTTTAGATTTTATTTATTTATTTGACAGATAGTGAGAGAGACCACAAGCAAGGGGAGTGTCAGGGAGAAGGAGAAACGCACTCCCCATGAGCAAGGAGCCCAAAGCGGGGCTCAATCCCAGGACCCTGGGATCATGACCTGAGCCGAAGGCAGATGCTTAATTGACTGAGCACCCAGGCACCCCTTAACAGATTTTCTAAATTTTTTTAAGTTTGTTTATTTATGTCATCTCTACACCTAACATGGGGCTTGAACTTATAACCCTGAGATCAAGAATCACAGGTTCTACTGACTGAGCCAGCCAGGTGCCCCCAGATGTTTTTTTAAGTAAAGAAAAGTAGTCCAAGGATTGAACCCTGGGGCTGTCTTATATTGAGAATATGTTTATGACTCCTACGTACATTTAACATTCAACAAATATTTTTTGACCACCTACTATGTGCCAGACACTTGTTCCAGCTGCTGGGAATACAGCAGTGGACAAAACAGACAAAACCCCTGCTTTCATGGAACTTACATCCTAGCGAAGCCTGGAGAGAGAGTATGTCAGGAAGATGGGGTGGTTAACTATGCAAAATGTTGCTTAGTTGTCCAATAAGATGAGGACATAACAAAATTGATTATCAGCTTTAATAAGCCACTCACATGATTTGGATAGTGTCTCAATATGGATGATCTTCATCTAGATCTCTTTTGTGAGCTCTCAACCTCTGTATTTGCCAATTTAATTTACATAGCTGTCCCATGTGTTTAAAAACTGTATACCCCCACCTACTTCTCCAGGGTTGCCTATCTCAGTGAGTTGCATCACCATCCATCCACTTGCCCAAATCAGAAACCTGGAAGTACCTTTAATTCTTCTTTCTCCCTTCTCTGCTCTAATTCATCATCAGTTCTATGACAAGTGTCTCAAATACAGGGAGGGCAAGAATGTGAGGTGTTTCCGGTCCATGAAGATATTGCTTTTCCTCTGCTTTTTTTTTCCCAGGGCTCAAGGTGTGGATGTCCCTCAGTTCAAGAAGGTGGTTTTCCAGGAATTTACTGATGGATCCTTTACTCAGCCCTTATACCGTGGAGAACTAAACGAACACTTGGGACTCTTGGGGCCATATATAAGAGCAGAAGTTGAAGACAATATCATGGTGAGTTGAGGACAGTGAAGTTATAAGAAAATTAATCCTACATATATATTTTTGTTTCTGATTATAAAAATAATGTATTCTTACTTTTGAAGAATTTTAAAGTATAGAAAATAAAGAAGTTGAAAAATAATCCCATAACTACCATTTTGGTGTATGTTCTCTTTGTCCTATGTATTCTTCTCGTTATGTGTTCAAAATTATAGTGTGTAATTTTACCTCTTCTTTTTTTTAAAGATTTATTTGTTTATATTAGAGAGGGAGAGAGAATCCCAATGCAAGGCTGAATCCCACGACCCCGAGATCACAACCTGAGCCGAAACCAATTATCAGAGGCTTAACTGACTGTGCCACCCAGGCACCCTTCTAACTCTTCTTTTTTGACTAAATATCATATTGTAAATATTTCTTATGTCATTAGAAAGACTTTCTAAATATCTTTTTTTAATGATGGCATAATAGTCTATTATGTGAATTTATGGTATACTTAGCCATTTACTTTGAACAACCTTTTAAATAGTTTGTTATGTTTTCACTAGTTCGATAAAGCTGCAATCACAACCCTTTTCCTATAGGATAAAATTCCAGAAGTGCAATGTACATGAACATTTTAAGACTTTCTCTAATGAATTATCTGTTAATGTCCTTTGCACATTTGACCTTTTGAGGAAGTACTTTTCTTATCAATTTATATTACCTTATATGCTATATATTTTTCCAAGTTTGTCATCTTTTAATTTTATTTATAGCGGTTTTTTGAAATAAAACAGGTTTCAATTATTGGTAGTAACCCATAAATCTTTCCTTTATGACACGTACCTTTTATGTTTATAAAAATCCTTCCCTATAGAAAGATTTTTTTTCTTAAAATCACTTATACTTTCTTCAACTTTATTTTACAGTTTAATTGCTTAACATTTAACCTTTTAATCCCTAAGTAATTCCTGTAGACTAGAAGTGATTTTGGTGCATTGTGTGAGCCAAAAATGAAAGTAGTTTTATTCTTTTCCAAAAATAGTCATCCATTGGCCCAATTGATTATTTACATTAAGGATATAGAAGGATCTAAAATTATGGAATTGTGAGCAATTCTTTTTCTGTTTTGGTTCTTATTTTAGTTTACATATGTCCTATGAAACACGTATAATTTTTTGAAATCTGAGGTCTTTTTTAAAGATCATATGCTTCTTCTTTGCCGATTCGGATGCCTTTTATTTTTTTGTTGTCTGATTGCTGAGGTTAGGACTTCTAGTACTATGTTGAACAGCAGTGGTGATAGTGGACATCCCTGCCATGTTCCTGACCTTAGGGGGAAGCTCTCAGAAAAATGAAGGGGGGGAAATCGGAGGAGGAGACGAACCATGAGAGACTATGGACTCTGAGAAACAAACTGAGGGTTCTGGAGGGGGGGGTGGGGGAATGGGTTAGCCCGGTGATGGGTTATTAAGGAGGACACGTACTGCTTGGAACACTGGGTGTTACATGCAAACAATGAATCATGGCACAACACATAAAAAAACTAACGATGTACTGTATGGTGATTAACATAACATAATAAAATAAAATTGAAAATAAATAAATAAATAAAGATCATACGCATTCATCCTGGAATTGTCATAAGAACCATATGTGTTAAATCTTGGGCTTATGCTCTCTTAAAACCCCTGGGGTGATATTTTCCCTTTTACTTTTTAATTGCTTTTAAGTATTTAGGAATTTTCTCTTTTGCAACTTTGAGTTCATGCTTTAAATATTTTAGAGTTCAAAAATTCCTCAGTTTCCTCCATAGATAGACCCTTAGGTTTGGTCCTGACAACACCCGTCCTCTGTACCACTTCCTTTGGGTATTAAGAACTTGGATAGGGCACCTGGGTGGCTCAGTTGTTAAGCGTCTGCCTTCGGCTCAGGTCATGATCCCGGGGTCCTGGGATTGAGCCCCGCATCGGGCTCCCTGCTCTGCGGGAAGCCTGCTTCTCCCTCTCCCTCTGCCTGCTTGTGTTCTCTCTCTCAATCTCTCTCTGTCAAGTTAATAAATAAAATCTTTAAAAAAAAAGAACTTGGATAAACTCAAAAACAGGCATTACTATTAGGGATGTGAACCCTAAGCCAAGGACTTTATATGATCCTAAAACATGATACTCGAATTCTTTTTTAAATTTTGTATTTACTTTTTCTCTGCAGGTAACTTTCAAAAACCAGGCCTCTCGTCCCTACTCCTTCTATTCTAGCCTTATTTCTTACGAGGAAGATCAGAGGCAAGGAGCAGAACCTAGAAGAAAGTTTGTCAACCCTAATGAAACCAAAATTTACTTTTGGACAGTGCAACATCATATGGCACCCACTAAAGATGAGTTTGACTGCAAAGCCTGGGCTTATTTTTCTGATGTTGATTTGGTAAGCAGGTGTACATTGCACTGGCCACTTACTGGTTTAAAAGAAATGGACTTCATGTTATCTGCTAAGAATTTTGCTATTTATTATAAGCTTAATGGGAAGCTTTCAATAGGAGAGGTGCCATCATTTTTGCGTTTGAGAACTATCACTCTGGAATCTACTAAACTGGTTCATAGGTGAGGGACCTTATATTCATAGGATTGATGTCTTCTCTCTCAGGAAAAAGATGTGCACTCAGGCTTGATTGGACCCCTTCTGATCTGCCGCAGCAACACACTGAATCCTGCTCACGGGAGACAAGTGACAGTGCAGGAATTTGCTCTGTTTTTCACTATTTTTGATGAGACTAAGAGCTGGTACTTCACTGAAAACCTGGAAAGGAACTGTAGAGCTCCCTGCAATATCCAGAAGGAGGATCCCACTCTTAAAGAAAATTACCGCTTCCATGGTAATATATCCCACTCCCAATTATTACTGAGTGTGGAATGCAGCATGCACTACAACAGAGGAGCCTGGAGCCTGAGGCTTGGACAGTGTATGAATTGAGCTTATATGTATGGGAGTGGAATCCTCATAGGAATCAATATTTTTTACTGGAGTAGAGGGAAAGAAACTTCTGTAACAGATTTCAACAGCCTTTTCTGTGTTCTCCTCCAGCAATCAATGGCTATGTGATGGATACACTACCTGGCTTAGTAATGGCTCAGGATCAAAAGATTCGATGGTATCTGCTCAGCATGGGCAGCAATGAAAACATCCATTCTATTCATTTCAGTGGACATGTGTTCACTGTACGGAAAAAAGAGGAATATAAAATGGCAGTCTACAACCTCTATCCAGGTATGAGCTAATTTGTGCTCTTTTTTTTCTACCTACTGTACTTGAGTGCTTACTTTAATTGGTCTAGGCACTGGGGAAGCAATCCATGAACAAAGCAGACAAAGTCCCTGACCTCAGGTAACTTACTTTTTCAAGTAACTTTACCCTACAGAGACATAATAAATAAATTAGTCAATAAACATGATAATTTCAGATACAGATAATGTGCTATAAAGGAAATAGAACAGAAAAAAATGGATAATTAATGTTGTAGCACTTGCCTGGGAAAAGGGGATTTTCCCCCATCTCAAATCCCACACAGAGGTAGTAGTTATCCAGAGTGATTTGTTTATGTCTGTAACCAGTATATTGATTAAGCACTACTCACAATATTGATCAAAACACAGCTTTATTTTAGCTTTCCACTGTCCCTTTAAAACAGGTTTAATAGTGGGAGCAAACTTCCGTGTTCCTGTGTAAAAATTCCAGTAAGTTCAGTGACTTTTCTGCTCACTCTTAAGTAATAAACACCATGCAGTCACTTTACATCACAAATATAGTTCAAATCCAGAATTGCAATGTCCACTCCAAGATGTCTACACTGGGAAAGGGAGGTGTGGTTGAGTCCTCTCTTCCTGTACCTGGCTGCTGCTTTGGTAAACGATAGGACAGTTCTTATCTACTTGCAACTGGCACCTTTATTCTAGGTAGTCACTTGTGACTCATTCCTCAGCTTCTTGCTGCTGGGGTTACTTTAGCCCTGAAGGCAGCCCTGGCGGACTAGGTCCACGAGGACCTCACCCTGACTTCCTTTTCCCAGGGAGCTCACATCTGGTCGATGGGGAAAAAAAACAAAAAAACAAAACAAAAAAAAACCTTTGGCTCTGAAAAACCCTGAGAGTGCAGTGGCTTTCTCCTGTCTCCCCCACCAAAGCATGCCACCACCCTGTCTCTCCCATTTCCCAGGGGTCGGGGCTGTCAGAATTCAATCCCCAGTACCTCCAAACTGGAGGGGTCACATAGCAAGCATTTTGGCTTTGAGGGGTCCAACAGTGGAAGAACTGACTTAGGTAGATTTCCTTTGATGTTCTGCATAAACCAGTGTATCTCATGCTTTTTCAGTAAAATGAAATAATTTTTGTTGCTTTTGTTTTTGATAAGGTGTTTTTGAGACTGTGGAAATGCTACCATCCAAAGTTGGAATTTGGCGGATAGAATGCCTTATTGGTGAACACCTACAAGCTGGGATGAGCACTCTTTTTCTGGTGTATAGCAAAAGTAAGTAGCACTGTGGGCAGAGGCTCCCTGCCTACTCAGCCTATTTCTAAACGGCTTTCCTCCTTCCTAGGATGGCTGCTTTTGTCAAGAAATAAATACAAGCTCACAGTCATTAGCAAATCTACAATGAATATTGCTGGTAGAAATCAGCAGAGTCCTCAGAGAAGGGCAGATATGTTTGAAGCTTTGAACACTTTGAACCTGAAGCTCTAAATGTTTAACAAACTGGTGCTAAAAAGGAGCTTCATTCTCACAACTTTGTGAAGCTCCAAGATCTCCAAGAGCAAAATTTGAAACTGAATTTTGGTTCAGTTACCAAAGATAACTTACAAATACGGCTTGGAAGAGTTCAAGAATTAACCCTAAACAAGTAAGAGAACCACTGAGTTCCTCAGCTGCAGAATGTGGAAGGTTCTAGCACCTACCTATTAGAGTGAATTAAGTGACATAGATAGTACAGTAAAATATTTAGTACAGTTCTCGGCAAATAGTAAACAATAAAAAATATTGACCATTTGTTGGTGTTCTCCCATTTTCATTGGCTTGCATTTGTGAAGCTGAATTTATGTACTCTGCTAGCTATCAGGCGCCTCTCCTTTGATTTCAGAGTGTCAGACTCCACTGGGAATGGCTTCTGGACGCATTCGAGATTTTCAGATTACAGCTTCAGGACAATATGGTAAATACCATTATTTTGTCTCCAAAAACTGGGCTGATTATATCTTTTTTTATTTCTGTTGGAGAGATTTAGATAACCTATCCATCTCCATGCTTCTATTAATTTTACTCTGTAAGTGCCTCCTAAATCCATTGTCTCTTCTCTGATTCCTACTGTTCAAGCTACTATCATTTCTCATTACCACCTCCTTAAATGTCCTACCGGCATTCCCTAGTGCTCCCCTTGAGTCCATTGTCTTTAGTGTGGCAGGAAGCTATACTTTTCTATAAGCAGTGATAGTAAAGCTTGAATATGATCTATTGACAGTTCTCAAATATTGTTTTAGAGCAACAGTGAGCAAACTATGGCCTACAGGCCAAATCTAGCCCACCGCCTGTTTTTATATAGCCTTCAAACTGAGAATTATTTTTCTAGTTTTAAATGGGCAGAAAAAGAAGAATGTCTCATGACATGTGAAAATTATGTGAAATTCAAATTTCAGTGTCTGTAAATAAAATCTTATATTGACACATACAGCTCTACAACAACAGTTAAGTAGCTGAAACCAGATGATCTGCAAAGCCTAAATTATTTACTATCTGGCCATTTACAGAAAAAGGTTGGTCAGCCCCTGTTTTAGAGGGAACAAAATGCCCTTTTAAAACAAGGCCTGATGGGACACCTGGATGACTCAGTTAAGGATCTGCCTTCAGCTCAGGTCATGATCTCGGGGTCCTGGGATTGAGCCCCATGTCGCAGGGAGTCTGCTTCTCCCTCTGCCCCTCCCCCCTGCTCATGTGAGCTCTCTCTTTCAAATAAATAAAATCTTTAAAAAAAGAAAACAAGGCTTGAGAGTTATATGCCAAAATAGTATTATTTTTCTCTAGGCAAAAGGATGATTTTTTTTTAACTTTCATTTTTACTTATGTTTTATTTTTCATTTTCTAACTTTTCTACAAGGAACATACATTGTGTAATGAAGAAACAATGATAGCATTTTGTAGTACTGGTAACACATTCCAGTATCACCTAATTAGAGGTGCTAACAATAAACGAAATTATTAAATTTAGAAAATAAAATACTGTGCTTTATGCCGTTATCTTCTCTACACCTAGGCTTAGCCTTTCTCAAGAGAGCAATTTTAGGGGCACCTGGATGGCCCAGTCTGTTAACTGACTCTTGATTTCGGCTCAGATCATAATCTCAGGGTCCTGGGATGGAGCGCCTGTGAGTCAGGCTCCCTGCTCAGCAGGGAGTCTGCTTGTCCCTCTCCTTCTGCCCCTCCCCCCCACCCCGCCCCCACTCATGTGCTCCCTCTCTCTCTCTCAAATAAATAAATAAATAAAATCTTAAAAGAAGAGAGCAATTTTATTCCTAAGTGTCTAGGAGCAACACAGCTGAATCTAATCTCTCTCCTTTCTTGGGCAAAGGACAGTGGGCCCCAAAGCTGGCCAGACTTCATTATTCCGGATCAATCAATGCCTGGAGCACCAAGGATCCCTTTTCCTGGATCAAGGTTAGAAAGTGCATTACATTCAATCACAACATGTATTCCTCTTGCAAGTTCAAAAGTCATTTTTATCAAATTCCAGGTAACTGACAGGGAAAGAACTGAAGAATAGAATAGCTTCTGATTTGTACAAAAATAGTCAAGAATGAAGAATAGAATATTTGGGAATAGAATCGAGTATGCTGATTTGTTTGTTAGTCCAATCTGGTAAACTAACTTGGAGCCAGTGACTGAAACAGTGTCTTTAGGGTTACTCAACTTCTTTTTAAATGACTAAATCTTTCAAATTTTCTCACTTTCCCATTTCCTCTAGAGCAGCGCTGTCCAGTAGAAATGTAATTGAACCACAAATGCAAACCACATGTGTAATTTTATATTTCCTAGTAGCCACATTTAAAAAGAAACATGTGAAATTCATTTTAATGATATATTTCATCCAACATACCCAAAGATTTTATCAAGTGAACATGGGGTCATTCAGGGCTCTGGCCCCTTTAAGGGCATACATATGGGGACTTGTGGGTCCCTTCCATGCTACATGAGAGCTGAGGGTAGTGTAGAAGTGCCAGCTCAGCCTCTCGGCCTAACTGCGAGAGTTGTTCCCTCTAGAGCCTGAATGTGCCTCCCACCTCTGGTACTTACAGCCCGAAGAGGGGTACTGCACACATGCCTTACCACCTACTTTCCCCATCTCTGTCCACTTTTCATTGTGCACCAGCTTTCTTTCCTCTTCTGAGTTGACCAAAGACATTCCCCTACGTATTTTCCTCCTTTGCAAGATTGCATCTACTCTTCTATTTTCTCTTGAGGTTAAAATAATAAATAGGAATCAGGGAAAGATAAACCAATGTCCCATCAGCTCACCTTATTTGGTTTATTTTGTAGGCACTGCCAGTTATGACTCAATTTGAACTGACTGTTCATGAATTCCTAAGTATTTTTGTTTCTTTGTGAAGCTGCCAAACCACATTTTCTGACCTTGTATTTCTCTGGTATTCACTTTCAACCTTACATGTATCCCTGGGTAGTGGACACTGTCATCTACTTGGGTGCCCTGCATCTGTCATTCCATTTATTTATTTATTGTGATAGCATTGTCATTCCCATGTGGGGAATTCTATCTCCTTCACTGGATACAACCTAATGAGACTAGTAAATAGAGTGCCTTTTCCATGCCTAGCCAAAGAACCTGAGTAATACACCCTGTTAAGTTTCCACTTACTAGATTTGGCCCATTGTTCCAGCTTATCCAACTTCTGTCTCCCAAAGAATTTCTTAGTCTTCCCAGTTTCACATAATTTACTGCTTGATCAGTAAACGTTTTTATACTTTAGCAAATTCATGATCAAAATATTGAAGTAGACAGGGCTTCCTTACTGTGTGCTTTAAACAAGCCCAAGCTATCAAATCCTTACCACACTGTTATTATCATCCTCATTTCAGATAAGAAAGCTAAAGCAAAGCAAAGTAACTTGCCCTAAGTCATACAGCCAATAAGTGGCTGAGCCAAACTTCAAACTGTGATAGTTGGGCTCCAGAGGCCTAATTTGTAATCATTATACTGTACTGTTTCTAGAATGCTCCCTTTAGGTTGATAATCATCTATTAACTACCACACTTTGCTTTTGGTAATTGAACCAGTTACAAATCCACCTAGTTGTATTATCACCCAATCTGTATTAAATCATCTCATCCTCAGGGTGTTTTTTTACCATCTGTTCTACTAAAGCCCAGGTATACATTTTCTTGATCTGGTAACTTTATAAATACCCCAGAGAAATAAAGAATTATGGTGACTTAACAAAAAAAAAGAAAGAAATGGTTCTAGGGAGCCAGGGAGGCAATCAGAGATGTCTAGCTGCAGTGTTTGTATTTGTACACTGAGTGACTCATTACTGCTTTGCTTACTTCCTTGAGAGATATGTCTTGTCACAGTCAAATACATGGCTGGATACACAGGTGAAAATGTTGACTCTGTAATTGCCAAATTCCTCCAAGTTTCCAATTATAATATAGACAAGGCACAACAAGAAGATGAAGTAGATAAGATTGGCAGTTTGCCAAGAATTCATCAGTTACAGAATGTAGGTGAAAAAGGTGGCTGGCCAGACTTTATTAAAACTGCTAGGGGCGCCTGGGTGGCTCAGTCGTTAAGCGTCTGCCTTCCGCTCAGGTCATGATCCCAGGGTTCTGGGATCGAGGCCCACATCGGGCTCCCCACTCAGCAGGGAGCCTGCTTCTCCCTCTCCCACTCCCCCTGCTTGTGTTCCCTCTCTGGGCTCCCAGCTCAGCGGGGAATCTGCTTCTCCCTCTCCACTCCCCCTGCTTGTGTTCACTGTCTTGCTGTGTCTCTCTCTGTCAAATAAATAAATAAAATCTTTAAAAAAATATTTTAAAAAAACTGTTAGAAAGTGCAATAGTCAGTGGTCAAAAAAAGACCTCTCATATACTACATGAAGAAATAGTATAAGTCATTTCAACAAAAGTCATAATTTTTGCACCTGGTACTTTCAGTTGTTTATGCCACAATACCAAGAGGAAAAATGTAATATCTTCATTTGGGAGTATCATGTAATCTGGGCCAAGATAGTGCTGTAGCTTCTGAAGACCTTGCCACTCTCTGTCCTGTTACCCTGCTTCTTTTTCTCCTGTCCTTATCACTACTTGATGCTGTATATAAATAAAAACATATATATGATATGTAGTCTGTTTTTCCAAGTCAAATGTAAGTTCCATTAAGGCAGGGCTTTTTTTTTTTCTCCCTTCTTCACTGCTCTATTCCCAGTACGTAGAGCAGTGCTTAGCACATAACAAGTACTCAAAATATATTCTTTGAATGGATGGATGGATGGATGGATGGATGGAAGGAACTTACTGAAAGAGACAATCATTAAGCTCAAGTGTTATTACCAATCCAATTTGGGTGTACCAGGCATCTGTGACAAGTTAAGTTTGACTTGCTTGTTAGGGCAGTAACTGATGCCAAAATTCCTATACTAGATACTGCCTTGTAATGCTTTCGTGGTCCATGCTGTCTTTAAGAACCAATCATTTTGTGGGGATGGGGAAAGAAAAACACATTCCTTACCACTCTACCATTATTCACTCATTCATTCCAAAACATTTGCTATGCATCAGTATTATACCAGATGCCATGTTAAATACTGGGGCTAGAAAAAATATAAAAGCTAGTAACATTTATTAGGTGTTTAGTATGTGTCAGGCACTGAACTCAGCACATTACGTGTATTAACCCTTTAATCCTTTGCTATAAACACCATTATCATTTCCACTTTACAGATAAAGAAATTGAGACACAGAGAGGTTAGGTGATTCAAACAGGTTCACTGCCTTAAGGATCTCAGTGTAACAAGGAAGGCAGATAAGGAAAGAAAGCTTTATAATATAGTACAATAATATGCTCTAATGAAGTTGTATACAAAGTGAAGTAGAAGCATAGAGAAAGTATTAAATTTGGGTGAGTCAGGAAAGGCTAACCAGGAGAAATAGTTTCTGAACTAACACTTGAAGGAGGGACAACAGTTTATAGTGCTGACAGTGATGTTGGGAGGGGGACTGGCCTGGGGAGAGCAGAGGAAATTGGTTTTGACTAGGCTGAGGCTGAGGTGTGGGCAAAGCACTAGGTTATGTGGGTCCATATGTGCAGCACATTGATTTGAAAGTGGTCTGGTTTGTTGGGAAGTAGCCTGGGAACCCACCACTAAGCACCTTTCCTTTTTGTTCCTGTCATTTATCTCACTGTTTCACACAAATCCAAGGTACTACTGAGCATATCTGTATTGATGTAGATCCTTCTTAAGCCAATAATTAATTTCAGAAGGCCGTACGTACATTTAAAATAAAGTGTTGTTTCAATTGGTAGGTGGATCTGTTGGCACCAATGATTATTCACAGCATCATGACCCAGGGTGCCCGTCAGAAGTTCTCCAGCCTCTACATCTCTCAGTTTATCATCATGTATAGTCTTGATGGAAAGAAGTGGCAGAGTTATCGAGGGAATTCCACTGGGACCTTAATGGTATGTAATTACTTCTTTCAAGAGAGTGCATGAATCTTTTAAAGAGCTTTTGACAAAGATTTCATATATGGGACAAACACTCCTAGCTTCTACAAACTTAATTCCAAAAAAGATTTTTCAACTTATCGGCAAAAGAGTGATTATGGACATATGGATAAAAAGTAGTAGCATCAAAGATCTCATAGATAATAGAAATGAAGAGATGTTCTGTTGACAGAAATATGTGATTAGGATTGAGTGGATTGATAACATTATGGGTTTGCTTATGGATATTTTCAGTTTAAGATGATAGCAGGGCAATCAGGTTGAATGTCCAGCAGGCAGGAGATTAAAACTTGAGTTTAGGAAAAAAAAAAAAAAACTTGAGTTTAGGGGGGCAAAACCATGAATGGACGTGAAGATTTGTGTCTTCCACATAAAGGAATGGGTGAAACCTTGGGAAATGATCACAAGACCCTAAATTAAACAGGCTTGAAACCTTAGTATTATTGTCTACTCTTCCCTTATTTTCATGCCTCCTGATGAATTGGTCCACAAATCCAGCAATTCTTTCTCATATCTCTTCTGTTTCATTTATACTGCTGTTACTATTGCCTTCATTCCTAACTGGTCATCTCCTGTATCTATTCTCTTCTCTAATAAAAGCTGCACATCATTTTTGGGATAATCATTTTATCAGCCCCCTGCTAAACCTTTCAGTCTCCCTTTCAAAACTTTAAAAATTCTCTTTTACTTTCTTTTGGTTTTATTTTTTGTTTCCTAGAACCTGGAGTTGAATGACTAGTTGATTTATTTTCAGTCTTTCTCATTCAATATGATGAAAGAGTTATTAATTACTCTCATGAAGGTCATTCATCTAACAGCTACTGAGTAACTACTATGTTCTAGGTTCTAGTAAAGGGATGGGTAAGCTAGAGCCCATCTATGGGTTTGGACCACCACCTGCTTTTGTGTGGACTATGAGTTAAGAATGATTTTTACAGGTTTAAAGTTGCAAAACAGAGATTATGCAATAGAGATCACTTGTGGCCTGAAAAGACTAAAATATTTCCATCTGGTCCCTTACAGAAAAAGTTTGCAGACTGCTGGTCTAGTGTAATGGCAGTAGAGATGCCTAGGCAGTTACCATTAACCAGAACCCTTCCATCCCAGAGTGTGCCTAATGTGGAGATTTCATTCTTAGTCATCATCCTCCAGTGTAGTGATTCTCAAATGTTTTTATGTATTTATTTCATTCACATACAAAATATTTTTCATCAGCAATATTTCTCATCACAGATGTCCCACGTAAAGAGGGAGAGGGGAACCTTAAGGACCACTGCTTCACTGCCACCATTCTCAATAGTCTATAATAATGCAAATGTTAATTTTGATTTATCAATGAACATTTCAGTGATGTGGCTCTTTCTCTCTGGTTTTCAGGTTAAAAAGAAAACTATTTTTAATGTCCTTTAAAAATACTTCTTTTTGGTCATGTTAGAAATCAGCATTGTTTTGACATTAAGTTGATAATTACCAAGTGATTTTGTCAAAGTCTGTGAAAATCGCTGAAATCTGGCCTTGGCCCAGGTATCTATGCTATGAAGTTTCTGAGGGAGATATATAAATGAGCCAATGGCAAATGAAAAACAACCTTGATGTTTTCTAAGATTATACCAGTATATCCAACACCAAGATCTCTGGTAATCCTCCCCCCCACTTCGTCAATGCAAGGAATTTAGACCAGGCCTAAGGAGGCTTTTCCTTAAGCCCAAATCCAAATACTATCACAGTCACATATCACAACTCCTAAACATTCTTGTCATAATGATGTGGTTTGAAGTGTGGTTCGGTAGCCAATGGCCAAGAAAGAATTCTTGAGACTTCGTCAGTGCAAAAAAGGGTGGTTTTATTATAGCACAGGGACAGGACCTGTGGGCAAAAAGAGCTGCACTGGGGTTGTGAGGAGTGACTGATTATATAAGATTTTCTATCCTATGGAGGGGAGGGTGACATTAGGGTCCCAGGAAATTGAGTCTATAAGTTTCTGGAGGTCTAGCTATTGATAAGATTGCTTTTTTTCATTTTTTATTTTAAATATTTTATTTGGAGGGAGAGAAAGAGCGCATGCACACAATTTGGGGAGCAGCAGGCAGAGGAGAGGAAGAAGCAGGCTCCCCGAGAAGCAGAGAGCCCGGAAGTGGGGCTTGATCCCAAGGCCCTGGGATCATGACCTGAGCCAAAGGCAGACGCTTCACCAACTGAGCCATCCAGGTGCCCCAAGATTGCTTTTTTTCTTATAAGTCATTAAGACAGTTGCAAAACTGATGGGAGATTCATGTCAGGCATGACTGTGATCTCTATCAATTAACCATTTGTTTTTCCTCTTCCTTTGCTCTTGGGCAGCCAGGAGTGCCTGAGGAATGTCACACCTTTCCCACCTGGTCATGGTGGGGGGGGTGGTTGCAGGGTATTACCTGTGCTTTGCCCTCAGCATGCCTTTTGCTCCCTCATCAATAGGACAGTAAAGCAGCTGGCCAGGCCTGTAGCCCAGGTTGAGAGAAGTATACTAAGAAAAGCAAAACCACAAAGGACCATGCACGCTAACCACTTTCTTTTTTAATTCCAGTATAATTAATGTAGTGTTATATTAGTTTCGGGTGTACACTATAGTGATTCAACACTTCTATACATTACTCAGGGCTCATCACAGTAAGTGTACTCTTAATCCCCTTCACCTATTTTACCCATCCCCCCACCGACCTCCCCTCTGGTAACCATCAGTTTTTCTCTAGAGAGTATGGTTTTTTGTCTCTTTGTTTTCTTTCATCCTTTGTTTCTTAAACTCCACATGAGTAAAATCATATGCTATTTGTCTTTCTCTGACTTATAAGCATTATATAGCCTTATACCTTCTATATCCATCCATGTTGCAAATGGCAAGATTTCATTCTTTTTTATGGCTCAGAAATATTCCAATTTGTGTGTGTGTGTTCTTTATCCATTCATCTATGGATGGACACTTGGGCTGCTTCCATAATTTGGCTATTGTAAATAATGCTGCAATAAACATAGGGGTGCATATATCTCTTTGAATTAGTTGTTTTCATTTTCTTTGGGTAAATACCCAGTAGTGGAATTACTTGATCATATGGTAATTCTATTTTTAATTTTTTGAGGAAATACCCAGTAGTGGAATTACTTGATCATACGATAATTCTATTTTTAATTTTTTGAGGAACCTCCATACTGTTTTCCACAGCAGCTACACCAGCTTGCATTCCCACCAACACTGCACGAGGGTACCTTTTTCTCCACATCCTCGTCAACACTTGTTTCCTCTTTTTTTATTTTAGCCTTTCTGACAGATGTGAGGGGATCTCTCATTGTGGTTTTTGACTTGCATTTCCCTGATGATGAATGATGTTGAGCATCTTTTCACATGTCTGGCACCCTACCCACTTTTTCAATAAGTTAGACTAGGCTTTTAGGGCTCTGAAAGACCCTTCCAGGCAGCCAAGTGAGAGCACAGGAATGATGGCTGATTCTGTCTCAGATGGGCCTCTCTTGTATTCCCTTACCTATTGCTTCCACATTGTTGAAATAGAGGTAGTAAAGATGACCCTAAAAATCCCACCCATTTTGAGGCACTTAACTCATGACAACCCTCCACATATCCCCCTCCCCGCCCCCCCTCACCACACACTAAAGGCAAAACAGAAACCTACTGCCGAACCGCGTCCTTAAATCTCACCCCAAAAAGATTAGTACTGTATACAACTTCAGCCTAGAGGATGCATACTAACCCTAACCCTAACTGTAAAGAGAATAAAATCGAATTTAAAAACGCCCAGTTTGTAACGTTTGCATGTAACATTTGGACCAAAAAGCCTTGTAACTGTAATATTTTGAAATGGGATGCTTTCCTGCTCTTGGGGAACAAAGACACCGTCTAGCATATAAATGACCGCACAATACCAGAGAACCATGCCGATTTTACATATTTGAGTTAAATAAGAGTTGCAGAGAGCTCCCTACTACAAATAAAAGTTGTCACGCGGACGAGGCATACCTCTCAGGATAGAACCTAGAACCAGAACTGTGAATTCCAAGGCACATCAGACACACTTGCATTAGAACACGCCCCCCTCCCTTGCACCGGACACATTTGCATTGCAGCTGAGTAAGGTCCACATCGCAAAGGATCTCTGTAGCTTCATTGCGTGGCACAGTCCGAGTACTGGGCTGTCAATTTCAAATGAATGAATACATCGTGGACCTGAAAGACAACCATCTGTTTTTCTACTTTCTGCTTCCTGGTATGTAGAGAAGCTGTTCCCATGTTATAGATGGAAGGAAAGCTAAACCACAAGTTAGGAGCATCAGAATGGCTTTATTATGGACTTCGGGCTGTAGCCACAATGGTGTATGTAATCAAATCATTCCCACGAATATGTATGGGGCGGATGAAACAAAGGAGAACTTGGGTGGTCACATGGATAGACATTGATCTACGGCTAAGAAATCAGATCAGGATAAAAATCATGTAGCTTAAGTATAGAGCTGTGCAAAATCAAATCCTCACTTTGCAACAAAGACGTGGGGGCCGGGGGGGGCAGGTGGAAGAAGAGGTAAGGGATAAAGGGGGTTCTTACTTGTATGTGGGCAGTTTTGGGGAAGAGAGCCACGTCCTCCACTGATTCTATCACGTTGTTGTTGTTTCCCTCCCACCGTCATGGAAATAAGTTTTTGGGATACAGGTAACTTCCAGTCAACTAAGTTCCCATGGAGGCAAGAGGAATACGATAAACAAAGGTAGAACTGCCAGGATTCATGTCTTTTATTCGGCCGCCCGCCCCTCTCCGCCCCAAACGCCAGGGGAGATGCACGAAGTTGTGTCACAAGCAAAAAGTCACTTAGTTAAGGTGATTCATCAGATTCCCTGTCCCGAGGGGGAGACGGTTTCTTGCAGAACGAGGTGAAGGAGGTGGTTCTGCTCAGCACTCAACAGTGGCCACATCTCCACTTGCAGCGACTTGACAGCTTCTGTGTCCTTTTCGTGGGTAGCCATGACCAAGGACTGGAGCAGCAGGAACAGCTCCTCGGGAAGCTGGCCACTGCTCTCCTGCCCGTGGCTGTCGAAAGCCTCCCAGGAGTACTTCTCCAGGGTGTGGGCATGCTCCGGCAGGAGCTTGGCGGGCGGCGGCTGCAGGAGTAGCAGCAGCAACACGCGGGACACCTCGCAGCGGACCAACACATCCGAGAAGGCTCCCAGCGCGGCGGGAGAGGGCGCGCCGGGCGCAGACCCCGCGCTCGGAGGAAGCAGCGCGGCGGGCAGGGCCGGGACCGCGCCGGGGCCCACCTGCTGCCCTGGCGGCGGCGGCGGCGGCGGCGGCGGCGGCGGCTGCACCGGGTGGCTGCCGTACTCCCGCGCCAGGCACTGCATGCGCGTGAAGACCGCCAGGGCACCGTTGTAGTCGCGCGCCAGCAGCTGGCAGGAGGCGGCGTCGCCAAGAGACTGCAGCGCGGCCAGGGGCAGCTGCGGGAGCTGCAGCTGGGCGGCGCGCTGGAAGTGGCCGGCGGCGGCGGCCGGCTGGCCCAGGTCGCGCAGGGCGGCGGCCAGCTCGAGGCAGAGGGCGGCGGCGGCTGCCGGCTGGCCCAACTCGAGGTGCAGGCGCACGGCGGCGCCCAGAGCGCTGGCCGCGGCTTGCAGCGGCTCCCCGTAGGCTGCCGGGCAGACGAGTCGCTGGCGCGCGTCGCGCTCCTGCCGCAGGAAGAGTCGAGCGGCCTCGGTCAGCGCCAGCGCCTCCCCAGGCCCGTGGAAGAGCGCCTGCTGGCAGCGCGCCACCGCCAGCTGGCACCAGGCCGCGTAGGGCAGGCACTCCTGGGCACGCAGCTCGCGGCCCAACTGGCCAAACTGCTCGCCCGCCTCCGCCACGTTCGGCTTCCGCAGGAACCGCTTCTTCAGCTTGCTGGACACCTGGCGGTAGCGTGCCAAGAAATCCCCAGCCTCGGGCCCGGGGCCCGCACCGCCGCCGAGGCCGGCGGCAGACGACGCCATGTTCGCCGCCCTCGCGCTGACGCAGACCGTCGGACGTGGCGGCGCTTGGGCGCGACGTGCCTTGCGTCCCACCGGCTCGGGCTGGCCGCGCGACCGCGCGCGCTCGCGAAGCCTGCGCGCGCCGTTGCCCTGGGGGCAGGCAAACGCGCGGGATCCGCGGCCAGAGACCTCGCGGGGCGCCCGTTGTCTATGGAAATCCTGGGTCCTGGGGCGGGGCCTGGCCAGGTGCCCGCTGTTGCCAGGCGAAAGCCTGGTTACCCAGGTTGCTGCTACAGGCGTCTCCTAGCGTCTGTAACCGGAACCCGAGGAAAACTCAACTCGCGATCCCGCGTGGCCCTAAGGCCAAGTTTGCATGTTTCTTGTTTGCCAACCCCCCCCCTCCGCCACCCCGTCCGTCCTCAACCTTCCAGTCAAAGCCTCTGCCCCACTAGAGCCCAGGCCAACAGGTCTGTCCACCCCTCGGTCCCGCACCCGGGTTGCCACTGCACGTTCGCCCCTTCACGACGCCGGGGTCACATGGTCTTTGAGCTCCAGCCCAAGGAACACCATCCTTCCCGGGACCGTCCCGGGCTCTGACTTGCTCAGAGCCAATGCGGGGCGGGGGGGGAGCGGGGGGGGGAAGGGGGGTTGTCTTCTGTGCCCCAGCCTCACCCCCCTCCCCACCGCAGCCAGCCTCTCCCACCCGGGGCCACCCCCTGCACAGTCCCCGAGAGAAACGGCTCTTCTCTGTCCTCCGCGAGTCGGACCCCTCCCCGCACCGCAGCCAGACACCGCCTCCGACCCCTCCCCTCCCCGCACCGCAGCCAGCCTCTCCCACCCGCTCTTCTGGGTCCTCCGCGAGTCGGACCCCTCCCCGCACCTCAGCCAGACACCGCCTCCGACCCCTCCCCGCACCGCAGCCAGCCTCTCCCACCCAGGGCCACCCCCTGCACTGTCCCCGAGAGAAACTCTGTCCTCCCCGACTCCGACCCCTCTCTGCACGGCAGCCAGACGCCGCCACCACCCGCGACCCCCGCCCGGTCCCTCCAGGGGGAGGGACGTCCCCCAACGACGTCCCACACAAAGCGACTGAAGCACACACACGGGGTTCTTTCTTTCGTTCGTTTTTATTGCTTCGACACGTGGGTTCCTTGCCCCACTTTTCTGGACCGTCCAGGACTTTGCCCAAGGCACCAGCCAGGCCGGGGCTGCCCGGGCGGTGAGCAGGCCTGACTGGCTGGCCGAGGCCCGAGAACCCGGGTCACGTTGGGCAGCTAGTCCGAGTCCGGGGCCACCTGGGAGATGGTCGTAGTCCCGAGGAAGCCGCTGAGCAGCGCGTTGTTGTGGACGGCCATGTCCACGAGCTCCGGGGTGATGCGGCTCCCGCCGCTGTTCTGGGCCTCGTTGCCTGCCAGCTCCAGGACCATGGCCGTCAGGTACTGGATGACGGCCGCTAGGAAGACCGGTGCGGACGAGCCCAGGCGCTGGGCGTAGTGGCCCTCCCTCAGGAGACGCTCCATGAGGCTCACGGAGAACGACAGCTCGGCTCGGGCAGTGCGGGAGCGGGTCCGCCTCTGGCCACTGGACGACGCTCGACGGCTCCTTTTCCCTGGCATGCTGGGCCTTGACTGCGCTTTCTCCGACGGGCCTAGCTCGGCGGTGCGGGGCGGTGCGGGGCGGTGCGGTGCGGTGCGGTGCTGTGCGCCAGCTGGGCCCAACTTCTCCAACCAGCCGGTACTCGGGCCCCTACGCCGCCGTCTCCTAGCGACCACGGACCGACCCCTTTCATTGGTCCGGGGACACACTTCGTGACACGTAGATCCGGTGAGGTCACTGCTTTCCCATCGGCCCCTGCTGGGAGCCTGGGCCTGCTGAGAAATGGCACCGGCAGGAGCCTGCTCACCCTGCCCCCCCCCCCGCAACCTCTCTTTGAGGGGAATGCTCACTTTCCGCCCCACGGGGACATTGTACAGAAAAGAAAAAAAAACAAAAAACAAACAGACGTGGAGGGTCCCGTGGTACCAAGCAGACACTCGAGGTGTCGGGCGACCAACACGACTCTCTAGTTCCAAAACGTGGGCACCACTCCCAAAAAGAGACCCCTGTACCTGTCAGGCAGTCACTCCCCCCCCCCCCCCCGCCCCACGGCACCTCCGTCCCTCCCCACCTCCCCCGTAGCCCCCAGGCAACCACTCATCTGCTTCCGGTCCACAGAGGTTTGCCTCTTCGGGAGACTTAGCTAGAGATGGGATCGTAAGACCAATAGGTGGCTTTTGGGGTCGGGCTGCTTTCACTTAGCACCCGTGTTTTCATGAGGGCTCCTCCACCTGGTAGCCTGAATCAGCACTTCGTGTCTTTTGATGGATGGCCGAATGATATCCCACGGCATGGATAGACCACGTGTTGTGCACCCCGTGCGTCAGTGGACAGGCCTTGCGGTGCTTTCCACCTTCACCTTGGGGCAGATGGGAAGGAAGAGCGCCGCGGTGGACGTTCCCGTACAGGGATCTGTTGGAGCACCCGTTTCCAATGCCTTCGGGTATAGATCTAGGAGTGGGATTGCGGGGTCCTTCCTATGGTCATTCTATGTGTAACTTACTGAGGCGCTGCCCAACGGATTCCCACGGCAGCTGTACCACTTTCCAATCCCAGCAGCACTGTGCGAGGGTCCCAGTTCTTCCACACCCTCGCCCAAACTTGTCATTTTCCACTTGTTTTGTTTCTCTTGTGCCTAGAAGAGCCAGCCTACTGGGTGTGAAGTGCTGTCTCATGGCGACTTTTTCTTTTCCTTAGAGAGGGAGACGGGGGGAGGGGGAGAGGGAGACGGGGGGCGGGGGCGAGAGAGAGAGAGAGAATCTTAAGCAGGCTCCATGCCCGGTGCAGAGCCCACCGTGGAGCCTGACGTGGGGCTGGATCTCACAACCCTGAGATCACGCATGACCTGAGCCGAGGTCCAGAGTCCGAACGTTCAACCGACTCAGCCACCCAGGCGCCCCTCCTGGTGGTTTTGATTTGCATGTCCCTAATGGCTAACGATGTTGAGCAGCTTTTCGTGTGCCTCTTGGCCATTTGTACATGCGCTTCGGAGGAATGTCTGCTCAAGTCCTTGGCCCGTTGTTTAACTGGGTCGTTCACCTCTTTGTTGTTGAGTTCCAAGCATTCTTTATGCATTCTGAAAAATACGCCCGTATCACATATATGATTTGCAAATGCTTCTCCCATCCTGGGGAGGGGGAGGTTGGCCTTTCACTTTCTACACAGGTCCTCCTCCTCCTTCCTCTTCTCCTCCTTTTTTTGTCGCTATACTTTCGCTGCCATATTTAAGGAACCATTGCATAATCAAATCCACCAGGATTTACACCTATGGTTTGTTCCAAGGGTTTCATAGTTTCCTTGCTTACATTTAGGATTGTGATCCAGTTTTGGAGTTCATTTTCACACACGGTTTCAGACTGGACTCCACATTCTTTGTCTGTGGATATTCAGTTTTCCCAGCACCATTCCTTGAAGAGATTGCTCATTCCTACATTGAATGGCCTGACCACCCTTGTTCAATATCAGCTATTCATAAATCTGTGAATTTAATTCTGACTCTAAGTTCCAAAACATTGACCTACATGTCGACCTAACGTTATGCCACCATTACGCCGTTTTTGGGATTGCTTGGAAATTGGGAAGTGTGGGTCCTCCAACTTTGTTCTTCTTTTTCCAGATTGTTTTGGCTGTCTGTGTCCCTTGCAGTTCCACATGCATTTAGGATTGGCTTTAACATTTCTGCAAAACAAGTCACTGAGATTTTGATAGGGGATGTATTGAATCTCTATATTGCCTTGGGGATTATGGCCATCTTAACAATATTAAATGTTCAATTTACTGAAACAGGATGACTTTCCATTTATTTAGGTCCTCTTTAATTTCTTTCAGCAAT